GTTTTTGCCTTTGCTTTGAAGCTGAGATGTGCTTTCATAAATTTCACCAAGAGCTTTGCCCAAAGTTTTAAGTTTATATTCTGTTTACGATGCACCATGAACATTTTTACGTGGCAGCAGCAAAGCAAGAAAAGCGCAAATAAATAGAGCTCCACAGCAGATATAAAAATTCCATTCGCAGTGCTGACCCATCAAAACTCCAGCAACGTTGGCCCCGGCTATACTTCCAACACGACCCACCATTAGTGATATGCATGTGGCCATGGCGCTATTTATACAAAGAAATTTGAATTTATTTTATGTATATGTATATATGTAGAGCGAGCTCATCTCCTTACCGAAGGTGTGTTGGATACAACTCCACTGTAATAACATTCAGCACAATGATTGCCACGCCTACCACGAAAAAGAGCACATATAGGTAGGCGGCAATAACTGAATTGACTATGAAGACCGAAGCTAAACCGCAGGATGTGAAAAATATTATGGTAATAACTGAAAAAATTGTTTATTATTTACACTAATTTAAAAATCTTGTATGAAGACCTACAAAGAATTAATATTTTTCCCACACGATTTATGATAAAGCCCACTAATGCGAATGAGCTGGCGTAAAGTATATTCATAATAAGAGAGTAATAAAATGTGGGTGTCTCCAGTTTATTCAGGCACTCTATGGTCTAAAAGTAAAGTTTAGAATTTCAAATTATAATTCACTAACAAGAAATTTTCACTCACTCCATCAGTTTTGTATAAGCTTTCTTGCTGATCATAGACAATTTCACAAATATGTTTGTGCTCGCCTGGGTGTTCCTGTATGAATGCCGCCACACTATTAATTGTTTGGGGGAACCACATATATAAGCCATTGGCAGCGACTAGTGCCCAAAATTGAATATTACAAATTATTACCGTCATTTTCAAATATTTCCGTTCAAACAACGGTGCGGTTTGATTCCACATCGTTAGCAAAAATACGAGTGCGAAATTCGAGTTCGAATCACAGTGGCTACATTTCGATATTATGATCGAAGTGTCATCATCTGGAAGAATATGTGTAATCTGTGAGAGCGAGTGTGAATAAATTATAAAAAGGATTTTGTTAGTAAAAATAGTATATATTATAAATTTTTAGTTTACTTTGAGTGTTTCTTTTCCATTATTCCAGCGGTGCATTTTTTGCAACACCTGTATGGCCTTCGTCTCCTCACCAACCGTCAGTAAAAACTTTGGACTTTCGGGCAAAATATAAATTATAAGACTGCAAAGTAATCCGGGAACACCACATACGATTAAAAAGACACGCCATGGTCTATAGCTTATGCGAAGAAATGTTAAAGACAAAACCCAGTCTTGATTTATCACCAAGTAAGCGATTATCGGCAGAAGCATCCCAACAACGGAATATATGACTCCTGAGCACATTATTGCGCGTGAACGTGTTTTTGGTGAATGGAATTCGCCAAGGTAAGCGTAAATGACAGCAGTGCTGGACACACTATTAAAAAAAAAATTTATATAATGTGAAAAATTTTAGACGAAATTCTGCATATTTGATACTTGTATGTTTTAATGGAAACTACTTGTATTACTATAACCCATAGGCTGGCTTCACTTATTTGAAATAACTATTTGAGAGGTTATGTACACTTGCAAGTTGTACGTTTACAAAATTTAATTACTTTCATAATCGACTGTTCGTTTAAAAAAATTTAGAATTTCCTTGTAGCCGATCTCCAGGAGGAGCTCCAAAAAAGGGTGTCTGGCAATGAGAAAGATTTTTCTACATGAAATTATCGCAATTTACAAAACTAAAAAAAAAAATATTTTCACTATTGATGAACTACCTACCATTAAATGTATTAAGAATCGACGGACTAGTCAAAATCTTGATTTTTGACAAATGGCCAGCTTACCAATAAAAGTAATTTTTTGTGAAATAATTTACACTTCAGACTGTCTTAAAAATCGAAATGATTATCAAAAATCTTATTCCTGAAAATTTAGTTCGGTACAGCCGTTTCGGACAAATTTTCCTCATCGGATCTGAAAACAGCGCTTCGAGAAAAACACGTTTAAAGTTTTGAGAGCCGATGACACTCAGTTACAAATTTTCATATTTCTGAAACTAGATATTTGCCGAATCAAAAAATTTTCGAACTATACCATATTCTCATATATATGAATTTTTGATATGTATGCAAAATAAAAAGATTTTTTGAAATTCACAAGTGGTTATAACCCCTTAAAAGTCAAAAAAAAATAATAATAACATCAGTCAATAAACCTGTCGTATATAGTTAGAAACAAATTTATGATGACCACTTAAAAACAACGCTTACTTCTTAATATAAGATTAATTTTATTATTTACCATATAATATTTTTCCTAACATCCTCTATGTAAATCACGATACCAGACATTTATGAAAATTACATTTAAGTTTTATCTTCTTATCAAACAAAATATTGATACTCACAAAAATCCATTAACGAAACGTAGTAAAACCATTGTCCAAAAATTATGTGCGAAACTGGAAAAAACAGTAGACACAAAAGCTGCCAACAAAGTGGACCATAACACCCGCCGACGTCCCTTGGTATCAGCAAAAAATCCCCACAAATGTGAACTAGTGATTATACCCACAAAATTGATTGCACTGAGAATACCTTTGTCGCGATTGGTCAGTTGCAATTCGCATTGAGCGATGGGCAGAACAAAGCCTATAGAAGTAGTCTCCAGCACCAGTGTGCCCGTTACTAAGCCGGATATGAAAATCAAAACATAGTTGAATTTTCCAAAATCTGCAGGAGAAACATTGCTTTATTTTTCTACTTACTTTAGCTCTATTTCTTCACTTACTTGTTAGTGCCAAAGCTTCAGTAAAGGTGTAGGTACCTGACTCACGAATACGGTTCACTGTTTTAGCATCTTGAGTGTGAATTGTTGTGGCTGGTTATATTTTTTTACATTTTAGTAATGAATATGCATGTAAAAATTTAGATATATAATATATTGAGAGCGAGGGTTGAAATTCAAACAAATATAAATTTGTCTTTAAGGGAGTTGAACACATTAAAGAGATATGCATGTACATACGTATGTATGTGTACGATATAATTCACCAGCTGGGTCCAATTCAAATTATAAGCATTTACTCATATATTTCAAATAACCAATAATTAGTAGGCTTGTTTCTGCCATCAGGAAGAAGACGAATGCGAACAAGTTACTCTCACAAAGAACGAAATAACGAAAAAGTAGAGAAACGGAAAACTAGCAGAAATTAGCAAGGGCGTATCAAAACGTGTTTTTTTTTATAATCACATTTCAATACTTGACAATTAACAATATAATTTTTATTTTCACAAAACTATTTACCATAACAAAATTAAAACAAATGCGTTAAATATCGCTTGTTTCTTGAGCCAGCAGCTGATTTCTGTTGACAAAAGATTTTCTAGCAGAAACCAGCAGCGCTTTCTGGTTCTTACGCTCTCAACTTGTACTCTTCTGCTAGTTTTTTTGGATTAAGAAAAACTTTTCCAGTAGGAACTTGGCTAGCTAGTAATAAGAATATTTATCCATTCAGAAACAAACTCAGTTAAATTTCAAATTTCACATTAATTTTATTCATGTATTTTAATTAAAAAATTTCGAGATGTTTTACAAACATTATAACATTTATGATCACATATTAGTAGACCAAAAGCGAATACAAATTTTTTCTCGTTTAACAAACTTGTTCATTTTTTTGATAAATTTATCGTTTTTTTACTTCGAACCTTAAAGTGGAGAAGCACATTTGTGTGCATAAAATAAACATAATAACATTTCGGTGCAAGAAATATTTATGTTATCTAATTTCAAATATCGTCTCTTTATTTATATTTCATATATGAAAAATAATTACCCATTTTATAAAAAACAAGAAAATTTATTAAAGCAACACTGAGCGTCTTAATTAAAAGCACCAATCCTGCGAAACACCTAATTTGGTTATTATTGTTGTACAATCAAATATCTACTAACTTTCTAATAGCATTTATTTACTTTATCAAGTCAATATTTAAGCAATTGTAATGAATCTGATCAATGAACCGGTACTGACTCGCATATATTCCGTACACCCAGTCAGCATTAAAAGATTGTCAAGAGAGATGGCTGGTTCGTCACTACTCTTAAAAATTAGCTATATCTTAAAACAAAGAAAAAAAGTACTTTAGTGCAGTGATAGGAACAGCAAAAATGAACATTAATTTTAGTGCAATATGACAGGATGCGTCCCGATTCTATACGAGTATAAGTGGTGGTAGTTAGTGAGCCCTAATTTCGCTATGATTCGTTATAGTTCTTTTGTTTGCACCGGACCCTTCACAAATTCAAAACGTTCCTTAGAAGAATTTTATTCCGATCGTTCGGCTTGTATGACAGCAATAACAATTTTTTCAGTGATTCTATTATTGCTTTAAATAATAATTTGTTCCAAATTTCATGAAGATATCTCGTCAAATGAAAAAGGTTTCCAGGCAAGCACTTGATTCCGATCGTTCATTTTCTATGGCATCTATATGCTATACTAATCCGATCCGAACAATTTCTTCGGATATTCCATTATTATCGTAGATAATGATCCGTTCCAAATTTTGTGAAGATATCTCGTCAAAAGATTCGTCTAACTTCATGGCCATGTTTTTGTCCGAACCGTGACTGAGACTCGCTTGGAAAAACACTTCTTAAAAACGCTTCATGTTGGGTTCGATTAGTTTTCAAATTCATATATATCCTTCCTAATTTGCTTTAGAATACAAAATAAACTTTAATAAACGATTCCGTTCTCCATTGTAACATAACCTAGTAACAATAAGTTGTACATAAAAAACTTAAAAAATATTTTTTAAAAGACTTTCACTGATACGATATGATTAAAACGAGTCTAAATTACATTTTGGTCACGAATATTTTTAAAAGTTTGTTTTTTCAATTTTATTTTCTTTTCCTTTAAATCAATATAATCGTATATCAAAAAATCCTTATTTGTTATAAAAACCTATGTCTATTTAACCTATGCTATAAATCATTTAACTTATATTCAGATCAAATTTTAATATCACTATTACAAAACTCTAGTTAAATGGTTATGGGTTAATCGTTTTGCTTGACTTAAGTTACTAAGCTATGAAATAAATAATACATACATATATTCGTTTAAATCTATGCGCATATACTTGTACTGATTTCTGTACTAGATACGTCTAACTAAAATCACGCTAAAAACTAAGAAATTATAATCCAACAATCACGATTCACTTTTGATCGCCACATCGGGGCTCTTACGTGGCAGCAGGAGTGCGAGAAAGGCGCATATATACATAGCGCCGCAGCAGATGTAGAAGTTCCATTCACAGTAATGACTCATCAGGGCGCCGGCTATATTAGCGCCGACAACACTGCCCAAACGGCCCACCATAAGTGAAATACAACCCGCCATAGCGCTGAAATAAATGTGAAATTAGAATGCGTTTCAATTGTCAGCTCATCTATTGACCTACCGCATGTGTGTGGGGTACAAGTCGACTGTAACAGCACTGAGCACATAGATCGCCACGCCTACCAGGAAGAAGAGCACATAGAGGTAGGCGGCTATAGCTGGATCGACTATGAAGACCGATACTATGCCGCACGATGTGAAGAATATTAACGTAATAACTAAACAAATTTTTTATAGATTAATTTTCGCTTAAAAATTTTGTACAAATGCTTACAAAGTATTAATATTTTTCCCACACGGTTTATGACAAAGCCAATAAATGCGAATGAGCTGGCATACAATATTTCCATGATGAAAGAATAATAATATGTAGAGTCTTCCAGCTTGTCGATGCACGCGATGGTCTAAAAATGTATAATATTCAAAATTCAATATGCTTAATGAATTTAAATATTTTGTAAGAAATTTTCACTCACTCCATCAGCATTGTATAAGCTTTCTTGGTGGTCGTAGACAATCTCACAAATTTGTTTGTGGTCGCCTGGGTGTTCGTGCATGAATGCCGCCACACTATTAATTGTTTGCGGGAACCACATATACAGGCCATTGGTGACGACAAACAACCAAAATTGTATATGGCAAATTATCATTGTGATTCGTAAATACTTCCGTTGGAACAGTGGTGCTGTTTGGTTCCACATCGTTTGCAAAAATATTAGTGCGAAATTCGAATTGGAATCGAAGTTATTGTTAAATTTCATTGTTGAGACTGCTGAGTCATCCTCCGGCAGAATATGTGTAATCTGTGTTAGTAAACGATATAATTTGTAAAAAGTGAAAGCAAACCCTTAAACAAGAAAACCAAAATACACTCCTACAAAATTTCCGTTTACTTACAATGAGCTCTTCCTTTCCACCATTCCAGCGATGCATTTTTTGCAATACTTCAATAGCTTTGCTCTCCTCTCCAATGGCAAGCAGAAATTTTGGACTTTCGGGTAATACAAAAAGTGACAATCCACAAAGAAATCCCGGTATGCCACATACGATTATAAACAGACGCCAGGGCTTGTAATCTATGCCCAGGAATGTTAAAGGCAGAACCCAATCTCGATTGATGACTAGAAAAGCGATCATTGGTAAAATCATTGCGCCAAGAGCGAATATAAATGCTGATCCCATAATAGCTCGTGAGCGTGTTTTATCTGTGTGGAATTCACCGAGGTATGCGTAGATTGTTGCAGTGCTAGCCAAACTGTAAAAAATGAGGAAGAGACCCGAATGAATGAATGCTCATGAAATAAAAAAAAATTATAATAAATAGAAAGTTATTAATAATTAATTTACAATAAAAGACTTCAAAAGCTATACTAAAAAAGTGACAATTTACGGCAGCAGATATTAAGGAAAAATAATTTAAATATTGCATTCAAGGGTCTATCGAACGTAATCAGACCTATTTAGCTTTATCAGAAAGGGAGAGTGAGGGATAATATTATGCTTCACTTGGACTATGGAATTGGTGCAGATTTTCGAAGTCAAGAAATGAAATCAATGGCATAACATTGATAGTACAGTAAATATTTATAAATATTATTTTTTTCATGATATGATACATACATACATATATACTTACAAAAATCCATTAAAGAAACGTAGTAAAACCATAACCCAATAATTGATTGCGAAACTTGAGAGTATTGTAATCGTAAATGTGGCCAACAGTGTAGGTCTCATCACTTTGCGACGACCCTTCGTATCTGCCAAAAATCCCCACAAATGAGAACTCGTTATTATACCCAGAAAACTGATTGCGCTAAGTACACCCTTATCCACATTCGTCAATTGCAGATCACATTGTGCAATCGGTAAAATAAATCCCATTGAGGAGGTTTCCAGCAACAGCGTGGCCATCACCATGCCGGAGATGAATATTAAAAAATAATTAAATTTTCCAATCTCTGCAAAAAAGTTTAATTGAGGTAATTAGTTGGGTATATATGTATGTATATATAATCCCTATATATTTATAAATATATTATAGTAGATCATAGATGAAGAATTTACTTACTTGTTAATGTCAAGCAGTCACTGAACGTGTAGGCATTTGGTCCCTGAAATTTGTTTACCGTGGCGGCATCTTGAGGGGTTACACTTTGTACTAGTTCACAATAATGGAATTTTTTTATAAGAAAATAATAATAAATTAATAAAAATTTGTTTCAAATAATCGAATCGGGTTGTAAATAATAGTTTTATGATTTTAAATTAAAAGTCCTAAAAAAAATATGCATGGAAACTAACTTTGAATAACTTATATCTTTAGTATTAGTTGTATTATACCAATTCCTTGCATTTGGTATAGAGGGTGGACTAAAAACCAAACCTTTGTCTATTAAAAAATTAATTAAAAATATTCAGGAAAAGAACATTCAAAATATTCAATAAACTGATGATTTTGTAAAAAAACTAGATTGGTCTACCCTATACTTAATTTTTAATAATCCGATTCAGTAAATTAAATCGTAATAATATAATTTTTTGTGTCTGTATCTAAATACAGCTGTGCTTAATTAAGTGCTGTGAGAATAGAATTGTTCCAGCATTTTTTTTAAATTAACATTTTAATTGACTAACAGTAGCAAACACTTTAGAAGGGCCGGTACATAACACTAAAGTTTTTAAGAGATTGTGATTTGTGCAACAAAATACTCCAATTACGATTCTAAATTTAAGTTTATATGTACATGTTCAACCAAGTACTGTGCGCAAGTAGTAGAAATATAGATTTAATTTATTCATAAAATAATTCAATTTTAATAATAGTAAACAGGTGTCACAATAAAAAGTGCATAATTTTATAAACAAAAAAAGGTATTTTTTTTTAAATTAATTCCTAGATAGTGAAAGTATTTTCTCACAATCCAAGTCATTTGCTCATTATTCGCTTTTTAGTAATATGTGTTTTATTTCCCTTAGTCGAAATAAAGTCCTTTTTAAATAAAAAACAAAATCGAAACAACACTTTTATTTTTCATTCTCTTTCATTATGTCAATCTTTTCAAGATCTTCAAATGTTATCTTCACTACTTCTTGTTTCACAAAATTTTCCTATCATATCGAGACACTTAACGGTGTTAATTTTTTATTTATCAAAATAAATTTTTAACAAAAGAAAAAAATATATTATATTAATTAATATTTTTTATTTGAATTTTGTTTACTCAAAAATCTCGTCTCAATTTTCCTTCATTTTTTTAATGTTTTCTATTATAAGTTACAGTATAATACATTTGTATTCCCAGAGCTGTAGAGAGAACCCTGTCCAGGTGAGGATATACGGTCATGCATCAATTGTTGCTAAAAAATATGCACCAAAAATTTGCAGAGCACCGGGTCGCCATGAGAACTTCAGGCTTGAGAGGTATTTTCGTCGATTTCCCACCCCTCTCTGGATGATGCATAGTTCTCAATGACATTGCTTTCAATCTTATTATTTACTAGTACATTTTAATCGATTTCATTTCCACTCGCTTATAAATTTTCAATACACTTGTGGTATCACATGTATATTTTGTTTGCAATTTTAATGAATATATTTGAACTCATTGTGTTTTGGGGTATTCTATTTTTTTGTGTAATTTTTTAACTATATTTGGTCGCTTTTGCTTCTACAACTTCAATATTTATAATTTCCTTGCTTTTTCGACATAATAATTTATCCAGACCACGTCAACCCCTGTTTCAATTTACTCGACAACTTCATTAAGGGAATATATATGGAAATAAGGGAAATAAATGTAGATAAATGCATACAAGTACATAGTATAAATTAAAAAGTAAAAAAATTACTTAGAGACATATATATAAATATCGAAAAATAGCGCATCGCATTGAAAGAAAGACAAAATCCTTACGAGGTTAAACTATTTAATTACTTATGTCCTTAAAACACTATAACACATGTAGAGTGGTGTAGTAGTAAATATAAATTTTAAATAAATAATTTTTGACTGATGTCACCGAATTAATTTTTTTTTTTAATTTTATTTCGACAAATATTGTTAAAAAACTTGAAAATATTTGATATAAATATAAAAAAAAAATTTAAATATATTAAGAACTTAAGCAATGACTAGCCACCAACAATCTATTTAATTTCCAATAACTATTAATAAGAAAACCTCAAAAAATTGCACTTTTAATATTTTTACACAAAACTTCTTCATATAAAAAATTTTGGATTTTTTTTCAGTTTCCTGAAAACAATCACAAAAATTCTAAACCGAAAAAAATATAGGTATATGCATATTTAAACACTTGCATAAATCCGCACAATATTTTTTATACACTTGCGTTGGGCTTACCCATTTTGTTTAGAATGAAAACAATTTGCTGGAGGAATTGAGGGTAAACCAGTAAATAAACACGCTATTTGCAAACGATCGGATAAGCGCGACGATTGAAACACGTCTCTAGTCCGCGACTTGGAGACCTACTAACTTTGCTAATCGATTTTATTTGTTTTAATCAAACACTTGTCAACTTGACTACTCACAAACCGGTGTGCGCATGCGCAGACTTCACACATTCAAATCATATAATATTATCACAATATTAATACTTAAATACTTATCCACTTGTTGTCAAGAGACTAACACTAGTCACTAAACTCGCGCACGCGATAGATTAGTAACCCAGTTTAGCGATGTTGAGGGTAACAAGAGCTCACCCAAGGCATACCGAATCAGAGCGATAACTGTCACAGACTAACTAAACCATTCGTAACGATTTTGATTTTGCAAAAGTGACTTACCAAAGCCAGCAGCCTACTCAATTCAAATCTCATCTTCAAGTGTCCACCTTCAATTCGTTACATAAACGGGAGTATCAACAATTGAAACGGTTCAATTTGTAAGCATCTTCACTTGTCGTTGAGTACGTTCTCATGTATGTGTGGAGTATGTAGTTGAATTTGAATACTTTCACCATTTAAATACAATACAATATTGCAATATATAATGTATGAGCTTAGCCGGTTCGATTTGTCTGATATGTTGCCGCAATACATGATTAGATGAATGCAAATACTCATATTTGTGATAAGAGTACTGTGCCCACACCCTGCAGGAAATATAAGAAAATATATTGAAATATATTGAATATTGAAGTTCAAAATATTAATCTGTTTTTAGAAAATGTCTGACGGATGAGAAGGTTTAGGGGGTATACTAGATTAAGAATATGAAAAAAAAATGATTTTTTTCATAACTTGATAGTTTAGATAAATGTTTTCTTAAAAATATTTTTCAAAATTCGAATTATTTTTAATGTTATAGCCACTTTGAGCAGCTTTAAACTCGTTTTTTCGCAACTACTTTTTCGATGGGTCCGTCACGTTATCGCAAGTTCTAGTTTTCGTTATTGCTACATTTTTTAGATGACCACAAGGATAGAATTTTGAAAACGAGGGCAGCGCCTTTGCTTTTTCTCACCTACTTCAAGAACGCTTAACGTGATGTTTTTTTTTAAATTTATTTCGTGTACTCGTAAAATATTAATAATAGATTTCAAATATGTAGCTTGTACCTATTTCGTAGTGTTTTTTGTTACTATATAAATAAATTATTTTTAAAGTATATGTATGTATCTATATATCTATGTGCTAGTTAATATTGTTCGCAGTATGCCAAACATTTCATAAACCTGTTGGCAGTAGAGTCTTGTTTCGAAAGTCATGGTCAAGTGGTCACTTGTAGTGGACTTGAAGCATTTTACAAGTAATTGGTCTAAAATGTGCTGAATTCGAGATAAATTTTCTTACAAAACCGGTGTATTGTGTTACATTTGTGCAACAGATTTTAAAAAATGAACTAATTAAGTTTAAATGAAATTAAATAAAATTTTTGGAGTTACTAAAAAAATTTCTAAGCTTAAAGTAAATCAGAAATCTTTAAGTAATTGAAGTGAGTTTTGAACTTATACGATAAAAAATATATATAATTGATCATTAAAATAATTTTTTGTTGTTACATGTAAGTTTGCCGGGTTTTCTTTAGACCCAAAAAAAGATATGTTACAGGAACTGAGAAAAATACAAAATCGTTTGAAAGTGAAAACATGAAATTTTTTTCCAAGTCTATTGTACCATTTGATCGAATTTGATCCGTATATACAAAAAAGTAGCATTTTCACGTATTTTAATCCACATTTTTATTAACTTTAAAATAGGCTCCTTTTGATTTTTTTGGGTTTTGGGTTCGACTCATATTTTTTGCGCCATTTGTTGCGCTAGATTGTTGGACAGTTTCGACGACATATCCGTAGATAGAGTCGATACATGAGAGATGTTAAGATCCTCCGCTATCGTTTGAACACACGACGATTTTCAAGCATCTTACGCTCTTTCGTTAACTTTTTCAATGTTATCGTCACTAATAAATGGACGACTCGCATGAGGCAAGTTTCGATGACTGCACGAGTTTCACTGAATGCTATGTGCCCTCAAATACTTGTGTTCGTGATAAAGTAGTCTATCCGAAAGACTTCTACAATACTTTCAACGTTTCTGTAGCCCCGATTGCATTGGAAACACAACATTTCAAGCAAACATCGTAAACGAACTTCACACACTTGTGCAGTCCGGGTCATATTTGATCAGATGCTAAATTATAAGAAACAATGTAGAATATTTGATTCTCATGCCGATTACATTACAGTAGAAAAAGCTACCAATTATATTATGAAGTACCTTGGTTCTCTCTCAAAAGTATGCTAACACAAAATTAGCAAGGACTACTAACAGCAGATTGTTGTCCTGTTTAAAATATGAATGCAAAGTGGCAATTTATGAAAAAAATTGTCTATTTTCATATTATTATAATTTTCATGAATCCAACCGTCGAGTTTTGAATGTATTTTAAGCTAAGAATTTCGTATAGTTCCATTTCCAGATTTGCAATTGCCTGTAATACTATTGTCTGGCTGTCAAATTCTTAACGGTAACGGTTAAAAACTTTGATTGAACATGCTGCTTCAACAGTTATAAAATGTTCTATCGTTTTCCCTCAAATTGCTTGATAATTATGTATACAAACTACAAATCCTGAGGTTCTTTGTAGATAATTTTTTCTAGGGATCATCGCCTGAAAATCTGTCAAGAGTTAATGCAGATAGTTCTTATTTTTTATTAATATTAACGCAAATGGCATAACTTGTCTTTCGATGGGCGTACGTACTTCGTAACATGCTTTACTTAAATTCCGCTTAAGTCGACTTAAGCTCTTCAATTATTTCGACGCAATTACAAAGACAAGTATCCTCGCATTTGCATATGTATATGTTTGCAGTCAGTCTGTTAATTAAGAAACTGCGTATTCTCTAATTCAACAAATACAAATTTAATAAAATATGAAACCATAAATGACTGGTTTTAGCTGGTATAATTGTTTAAAATTACAAATCATCGAATCTATTGAACTTAATCCTTTACGAGTATTTGCGGGGGTTGTTTATGTATAAATATATATTTTTATGTAACTAAATAATAATATTGAACTTTATTTAATTTTATATTTTACTCATCAAGTACATAGCTGTGATAGCTTATTAAAGCTCAGCTGGAGTAGGTGCTCGAGAATGTACAAGTAATGCATTATGCATGTGATATTCGCATGCGCAGCACGTGTGATTGGTGACATTTATATGTATATATTGTATAGACATATATACGTAATATACACTTAGCGTGTAGGTACTCGAGCTACGGTTGTCATTTTTAAAAACGATGTTGCAATGATTCCGAATATCGCTTCTGCAACAAATTAAGTTATTATTAGGTTCAACAGACTTTAGAACAACTCTCGGCAGTCAATTTAAATCTAGGATCAGGATAGGATATAGCTGCTATACAAACTGATCGATCAAAATAAGGTCCTTGTATGTAAAAATTTGTAATTTGACAAGATATTTTCATGAAATTTGGCATAGATTATTGTTCAAAATAATGCTATAATATTCGAACATTTATATGATACTGCTATTTTTTAAAATTACAGATGGAATTACATTTATCGAAGTTTATAAAAAATTAATAAATTCCAAACACTATTGGGCATGTTTTTTGCACAATAATGTACACATAATCATATATATGTATGTATATTATAGGTTTCTGACTTCTAAGTGTCTTAAATCCTTAGATTAAATTGGCGCTTTCTACTTACCTTGCAGACTGTGAATTTGGTGCCAATCATTTTCCTGACCATCTCAACATTGTATCACAATTGACCAATGCCATTATTGCATTGCCTTTATCAAAATCGTACTAAAGTGCTTATGTACTTACAAAATACACCTAGGCATATCTAAGTACAATATTTTCATACATATAGTATGGCACATGCAAGTGTACTTAAGCCGGAGTCAACTGAAACTTTCCACATTTAACTCATACCGCAGGCAACAAAAGACGTGAACCCGTACGATCTCAATAAAAAATGCTTATGCCTCCATAATGTCATTGTGGATTTAATATACAAGTATATTTTTGTATGTAAATGTTTCTGGGATAATTCCATCGCAAATGAGTTGATCAACGTTCTTCGAGTTGAGTCAAACACAAGTTGCATTTTTTTGCGTTTTCTTGTGTTGCTTTGGCGTGATTGTTGCCGGTATTATTTAATATATTTGTTGTACTTAAGTATAGTATATAATATAGTAGATGTGAACGGTGTTGACAATGTCGTCTTTCAGTGGCGATTATGGAGAGATGAAACCGATTGAGTTGCTGCACCCAGGCATGCATGTGCAATCGTTTCTATAAATGTCTGTGTGTTTTAGAGATGGTTGCGGCATTAAATATTCATTGTCGATCCCGAAAAAAATTTGTCGATTGCGTCCCGATAAATAATAAATATGTTTATTTCATATTTGTGTCAAAATAATAATTTTAATTTCACATACAATTTTTTAATCTTTTGAGAAGTCTTTAAGTTGTGGTTGTTTTAAGAATATTGATGGATTATGAATTTAAGTCATTATTCTGCATCAGAGCAATTGTCGCAAATGTTCGACAGTAATTTCTCCGTATAAACAGAGCTTACGTACATATGTATATACCACGGTATTTAGCGCAAATTGCAAGTACATCCCGCTTACGGACTATACATATATACATACATTTGCATGTACATTAGGGCGGATTAGAAAAAAACGAATCTTTCTTCCCCTTGGTACTCTGAAAAATAGGTTTTTAGACACCTCTAAGAAAGTCTCTCCAAGTATGAGCTCTTTATTGTAACAGGAAGGTCCTCCGCCTTACAGTTTTCTATTTTTTTATTATCGTACCATATTAGATTGGCGTCAAAATTAGTGAAATAAGACTCAATATAACAGTTGATTATTTTCGTTCGACACGTCTCTGAGTATCTTAAGGGGCACACCTAGTATGATAGCCTAAAAAGGCGATTTTTAGGAATTGAAAATAAATTATCTTAAGTGTATATATTATATTTAAAAAATACACAGTAAAATTTTTAAAGAAAAAAATAAATATATTTCGAGTTACACGCGTTACAAAAAGGTGCTCCACTACTGCAAAATTGACGAAATGATGAAAAATTTTTTGTCGTTTTTGCTCTGCAAAAAAACTGGTAGATCATTGTATGGAATAATATATACAGAATAGGCCAAAAAGTGGTTGATAGTAATTGGATCATGCGTCTTCGACTAATTACATTAACAAATTCGAAAAATACAGTTTCGAATGCTAAAGCTTCTAATTAAATTTTTTTTGAAATATTGAAATATTGAAAATAATATCATTTTATAACTTTTGCTTATTTCGAGAACCCTTTAATGAATTTAGCTGGGCGTTCTGGCCTTTCACTAGTCTCCATATCTACAATACAATGATGAACTAGTTTATTTTATAACATCCATTCCATTTATTGTATAATAAAATATTATAGACAACTCGCCATTATACACACGCCCTTAATTATTATAATTTGCACAGTGCTCAGCTGCTCCCATACTTAATTCTGTTTTTTCATCCATTTTTAATTTCTCAGAGCGCTTGTCATTGGTCATATGTACATGTGTATGTGTATATCGTAATTAATTAACACAGCTTTTATTTTATTTGATTTTTTGCTTTATTTGTAGTTTCATTCAATATATTTTATCTAAAAACACGTATCTCACACGATCTCAATAAGCACCGCAAAATAAAAACACTTTCATACAAAATACTAATTAAATATTCACTCACACAAACACTCACGCACACATAGAATCACAATTTTTAATAACAGTATTACATCCATCCCTACTAGTAGTTGCGAAGTTAAGTATGCTATCCGCATTTAAGTCGCAATTTAGAATAAGAATTTACGCGTCTTCACACATTTATGCCTCATCCAAAACGAGCTTAGCTGGGGGCGCCATGGTTCTTCGCGGTATCAGTAGAGCCAAGAAGGCGCAGACATACAAGGCAATACAAGCGGTGTAGAAAGTCAGTTCGCAGTTTTTAGCCAGTATCGCACCCACAATATTAGCGCCCACAACACTGCCCAAGCGGCCGAACATCAGCGAGACGCATATTGCCATGGCACTGTAGGTAAAGTTTTAATTGAAAAATATTTTTAAGGAGATGCGAGAAAGTCTTACCGCATTTGTGTGGGATAAAGCTCAACTGTGGCAGCGCCCAAAACATTAATTGCCACGCCCACCAAAAAGAAGAGCACATACAGATACGCTGCAATCGATGGATCGACCACAAAGACTGCAGCAAGGCCACATGAGGTGAAGAAAATTGTTGAAATAACTGTGAATTGTAGACAATTGAAAAATGTTAGTGGTTGTCTAAATTATGAAAAATAGAAGTATACAATTCATTTCTAATACTTACAAAGTATGCTTATCTTGCCGACTCGGTTGATTACCAAGCCAATAAAGGCAAACGAGGAAGCGTACAAGATCTCCATGATTAATGAGTAAAAATATGTAGTGTTCTCTAATTTGGCAACGCATTCCATTGTCTGGAAAATGAGTAGTTATAATTAGACACAGGTTTACAAAGGGTCAATTCTATTCGTCTGAGAATCAGATAATGCAATTTCCATGCAAAATTAGTCGTAAAGTCCGATAAATATCATAATATCATTTCTGGATTTTTTTGAGATTTTTGAATTAAAATAATCATCGAATTTTTAATTTTTTTTTTTTTGTAAAAACAATAAAGTTTTTCCAATCTTTATAAATAAATTCGAAACGTGTAACTTAATCGAATTTTTAATGAAAATTTTTTAGGATGAGTTATTGGACTTTGTTATGATCGACCTTTTTTCGTAAAACGCATGACAAGAATAAAAAAGTAGTAATAATTTTCTAGCTCTACGATTAGTTTTGCATAGGATTGGTCGGCAAATGTGAATCAATTTTGTTTTCAATTCCAGATATTTGTACTTACACCATCAGACTTATATAAGCTCTCATGTTTGTCGTACACAATTTGACAGATCTCTTTGTGTTCGCCTGGGTGAGCATTCATGAACTCGACCATAGAGTTAATGATGTGCGGGAACCACATGTACATGCCGTTCGTTACCACATACAACCAAAATTGCATATTGCAAACAATCAATGTGACGCGTATGTATTGTTTGTGGAATAATGGCACAGTCTGGTTCCACATGCTCTTCAGAAAAGCGGTGGCAAAGTTCTCCTTCGAAGCCGATTGATTGTTCAGCTGCATCATTGAGCCGGGTGTCTCCTCCTCCGGTAGGATGTGTTTTAACTAAGTAAAATGAAAATAATTATTATTCAAACTTAAACAATAAAGCACTTTGACTTACTTTTAGATCTTGAGTGCCACCGTTCCAACGTTGCATTTTTTGCAAGACCTCAATGGCTTTCGCCTCTCTACCGTGCGCCAAGAGGAATTTCGGACTTTCAGGCAAAGCGAACATGGAGAGACCGCAAAGCATGCCGGGTATGCCGCATACGATTAAAAATAGCCGCCAAGGCTTATAATCAATGCCCAAGAAAGGCAAGGGCAAGACCCAGTCTTGATTGATGACAAGGAAGGCAATCATTGGCAAGATCATCGCGCCGATCGCGAAGATAAATGAAGAACCCATCATGGCGCGCGAACGTGTCTTATCTGTGTGGAACTCGCCGAGGTAGGCATAAATTGTAGCCGAACCACCAGAGACACTGTAAAAGCGTATAAATAAAAATTAATTACAAAGACTTCTCGTATATATATAACCTAATTTTAAACTTACAAAAATCCATTGATGAAACGCAACAACACCATCACCCAAAATGTGTGCGAAAAACTTGAGAATAATGTGACAATAAAGCCTGCCAACAATGTCGGCCTAATAACCCGTCTACGCCCCTTTGTGTCGGCCAAAAAGCCCCACAGATGTGAGCTTGTTATGATACCAGCAAAACTAATGGCGCTCAAGACGCCTTTATCCTGATTCGTAAGATTTAAGTCACATTGTGCAATTGGCAAAATAAAACCCATAGCTGCCGTCTCCAACAAAACATTGGCCAAAACCATGCCAGAAATGAAGATGAGGAAGTAATTGAATTTACCGAAACCTATGAATGGTGTCAAATTAATATGAATCATGATGGCTGTATTCACATAAATGAATACTAAGCGTCAATGGTACTTACCGGTAAGTGATAAAGCTTCTGAAAATGAAATGGCCCCATGTTTACGATTTACCTTAACGGGTTCTGTATGTATAATTGAAAGTACTGGAATAAGGTGGGAAATTTGTTTGTAAATTAATTTTTTATGTTCGACAAGATCTTTGGATATGGACGTCTTACACATAAGAACATACAGATATGTATGAGTATGCATGTATGCAGTATGGGAGTTTTTGCGATGGGATGAGGATATTGCTGTTGAAGGGCACTTACATAATGCGGTTTAGCTAAAAATTATGCTGTCATTTTAATTTTTTTTAAATATTTTTGTTTAGGTTTTTTTTTTTTTGAGTATTTTTTTCCACATTCATATTTAAACAATTTATTTTTGTTTTATATTTTTTTAATTATTTAAGATAATTTAATTTTATATGTACAAAGTGTGTGATATAAAAAATTAACTTTGGTTACTATACAAAATCTTAACGGTAAATGTCATGGTGTGCAGTATGTGTGTGCTGTTTTTGTAGTATTTAAATTGAATTCAATTCAACCAATATTTAGTGCATTCAATAACCAAAATAACTTAAACTAATGAATAATTTTAATTAATAGATGGTAAATATTTTTTTTCTATGAAATACTTATACATTGGTACATACTTGGTTATTATTATTTGCAAAATAAATAAATATGTACTTTTTATTAAAAATATTTATCTTTTAATAATTACCACAAAACGCTAAATCAAATACTTATTTTTTAATGAACAATTAAAATAATTATTTAGAGACCATTACACAGTTTTTGTTGTTGTTGAAATTAAGAAAATTTACGAAATATTTAACTAATAATTAAAAGTATATAAATATCTATATATTCTATAGAATAATCTTACCCATTTTGTTTATATAGTTTTGTATTTGAGTTGACTTTATATGTTTGCTATTCTAATGAATAATTTCTTTTCTCGAAATTTTCAATTTGTGCATAAACTAATTTATATATAAAAAATAACAATGCTTGTTTTGAGTACTAATTAAACGCTAAATATAAAAGTCTTTCGAATTTTTTGTACTGTCTAACCTTCGCGCCTCTATGCTACTAATGTCAGTTAAGAAAATAGCCATCTATTTAAACCTTTTCGCCCACTCAATACGAAGTATATGTGAAGGTATATACATACGTAAACAGGTGCATATATACAGAAGCTATCTTGTGCCGCAAATTTAAGAACTAAGAAATGTGACATTTTTATGACAGATGTAGACACAAAATTGAATTATTCTACATGCACTTATGTACACACGACAAATAATTGCATATATTTATATCCAAAGGATGATGTGTATTTTCTATACCTTTTGGTTAGATCTTCACTAAGGTATGTATGTACAAGCTGTTAAAGCTGCATAATGTCAGCGTGAAACTTACAGTATCTGTTCATCTAAATATGGTTTCATGGTCAAAATCGCCAGACAAACTTTTCGCGTCGTAAACAAATAGCTACCAATCAAGAAAAAAAAGTTTATCGATTTAATTTATGCGCCCCTTTTGAATGCACTACTTTCGCGTCAAATTTGATCAGATGGTATTTCTTTGTTAATGAAATTTACAAATATTTATACTTTTAGAAATTCTGAGATATTTTTTACTTTTATGTTTCAAATTTTTTTAAAACATATGCATTTTTGAGAACATACTTAAATATATATATTTTTAAAGTTAAGTAACTAATTTTTGATATACTCTTTATAAAAAATAAAACAAAAAAAACATTTTTAATTTTATTTTATTTTATTTAATTTTCTGAAATAAAAGGTTCCTAGAAATTGTGCGCTATGATCGAAATTCAATAATTCAAGAGAATATATGCTAAACTTACCTAATGAATAATTTCAAGTTTAGACACAAATATTAATTAAAAAGATATCGCAATCTGTATCATATAAAACGGATATTGAAATTTAATTAATTAAATATTACGAACTGCCTTAAGACTATGCACTGAAAATCAGCCAATAAATTTTCAAGAAAATTTAATTTATTTTTTTAAGAGCGAAGACAAGTACATACATACATACATACATATTAAATATTTACTCTCATCTAATTTCAAATTATTATTTCAAATCAATTTTATTTTTATACAGAATTATATTCAAATCTTTGCGTGACATACATAATTTTATGCACACATACTGTATATTTATTTCAACCTAAAGGCTAACTCACACAACCAATGCCAAGCCGCATTTGCGTCAGTAAGATCAGTTAATAAGTCGCCGGACGCAAATAATTTTCCTGTACTTATATAAATATATATGTAGGACTTCTAATGTGAGAAGATAGTGGATGTAATTGCGTAATGTTTGCTCCATTTCAGTTACATTGCAATAACAAAACTCGCCGCTTACGCTTTAATTTAATAAATACCAGCAGCTGATCTACGAATACATATGAATTGTTATTTTAATTTTTAAAATTAAAGAGACAAATAACCAAATAAATTAAATCCTAGCAGTAGCAGTATTTCTATGCATTTACATTCATTATGCAGCTCCATAAGTCTCTTTATAACGAATAAGCTCTGGACAAACACAAATGTTATACTTTATAGGCGAAAAGCAGTGGTATTAGGCCTGTTTTGCTGTTTTTACGTATAAATTGCTTTTTTTTTTTAAACCTTAGTTATAAACAGTTACATATATACGAGTACATGCCATGATACAGATGGCACATATACCGTATACCGTTTCCACTTTCCATATTTGTGCTTTTGTCATGTTTTTATTTCGGTAAATAATTATAAATAGCCGTTAGTTTGAAAAGAAAAGTATAGTTAAACCGGCTTCTGTCAGATAAGCGCTTTGTGTAATTTGGGGTTGAAGGTATAAAGCGTGGGAACCCGGTAGATGGTATAAACAATTTTTGTTGTTCGTAAATGAATTATAACTGATTTGATAAGATAACTTTTTACAACAGCGCGTAGTGAAAGTTTCTCATTTTTCATTTCTAGAAGCTTGAGAGTTGCTGTTGGCAGTGTAATTGTTGACACATTTAAATGTTAAAATTTGAAATAGTTTACTTTACATATTTTTTTAACGTTTTCCAGGAATTTTGTCTAGCTTTTTATTAGAAATGTTCTAGGACCAGTTTTGCTAATAATTCAATCAAAAATAATTAAATTAATATTAAATTAACTTTTTTTGTAGTCTCGAAAATCTTAATTAAGAATACTTTTAAAAATTCTAGTTAGAAAATACCGTATTGAAAATTAAGAATAAATTTAAAAAAATGTTAATCCCAAGTTTAAACTTAGAAATTAAAAAAATTGTTTTTGAATTTACATTTTTGCGCTTGCGTACTTCGTGTTCTACCATTTTGAACTATAGCTTGAACAAAGCAATCATCTTCAATACTCTAGAGCAGTGGCTAGTAAGCTAGCACATTCAAACGATTTATATTTTATCAATATTTAATTTTTATTATGGGACAAAAAATTAAATTTTAACAATTTAATTTCGATTTTACAATTGAACAATAAATTTTCAATTTTTAATCCCATAATTAGAATTAAAAACCGAATTTTAATTTAAAATATTCGCAAAACTTTTCAGGGTAAGTTCGAATTACAATGGAAACCTTCTATAATGTTATTTGGCCAAGAAAAAGATACATATGTATGTATAAGTTATGGGTTATTGAAGCAACGAAAATCTAAAATTAAATTTTTTATAGAATCTGCAACTTTTGAAATTGACAAGTTATTTGAAAACAAAAATGGCTAGTAAATAATAATAATGCAATACATTTTCCTTTAGTTCATAATTCTCCTGAATATTGTAAAAATTAATTTAAAAGCATTCACAGGCTGCATGCGTAATAGCAGAATATATCTTCCAACAGCAGTAAATAAATAATGTCATTTACGTTCTCTGCTATTATTTATTTATTAACATTCTCTGCTCTGATATATCTGCTGTTAAATTAACATAACCAGAAACTTTTTTAAGCATTCCTACAGGCGCCGCCAAAAATTTGGCATTATTAGAAGCGGAAATGAAATATACATATGTATGTGTATATGTACATATACAGTTATCACAACAGGAAACACATCTATATATATACATATGTACATACACGTATGTAGAACAAAATTCACTTTTATTCTTGAGAATTTAACTTCATTAATAAAGTATCGCATTAAGTATTGAATATTTTTCTGTATTATCACTGAGTCATAAACAAATTAGTATGCAATACAAGACTATAATCTTATAATCTTAATATAATGACTTTGGCTTAATTTATAATAAATTACTTAAATTAAATAACAAATAGTTAAACACAATTTAGATATATAATTTACATATGTATATAATAAATACCAGAGAATGGAAAAAAAGTTAATAATATGCATACAACGGAATAGCACTTGGTCGTATAGAGAATGTTAATACATTTAATAATATCTAATAAATTATTAATGTTCTCTAAAAACACTTGAAAAAGGATATCAAAAATTTATTTTTGTATAAAATTTTATTTAACAGAGTAAAATTATAGATACTGTTTATTGGACGAGCATGTTAATGAACATGTATATTTTTAAAGTCTACATTTCGGCGAACAATAATTGCTTGCAAATAAACGGATTGAAAGCACAAAGTGAAAAACAAAAGTGCACAGACTAACAAAAGGATAAGTGATGGAGTTTTTCACATTAGCTTATCTTTTCAGTAACAAGTATGTACGAGTATGTACGACATTTGTATAATATATTTCATCTATGCTATACATATATTATATTATACATATGTACAGTATATTTGTTATGGCTTATTATAAATAAGTAGTATTTTAAAATTTAGTGTTGAGCATTAATGCAAATGAAATTACCTCTCATTTTATAACATACATTTAGTAGTCGTGGTAGTAGTACAGTAGTTAATTGATAATACGAAATTCGGATTTATTATTTAAATCATGTTATAATAATTATAAATAAATTTTTGCATAAGCTTTTGGTAATTTGAGTTATTTAAAAAAAGGTTTCAATTATAAATAGGCTCATATACATATATAAAACGAAAAACCAAAAGTAAATCGGTTAAACAGTTAACCTGTTATCAACTGATATGTTTTAAATCAAAATGGACTTACGCTCCTATTTTTCTAAAGATATACCTATGTATCGAAATAAAGCTGTACTTTAAATGACAATATTTATTCACTGCTTTTGTAGCTATTAAAAAAATATTTGTGTTTGGAAATATAACTTGCACGTAAAAGGCCGCTGCAATGACAACAAACTTCGACAGATATACATATGTACATACATGCACATATGTATAGAAGGTATGTATGTATGTAAGTACTTAAGCGAACGTCATTTTAAAACATAAACGTGATGTTGACCTACGTATCGCGTATGTATATACAGTATCGGACACATCTACAATACATCTATAAATTTTAAAAGTAGTCTAATAATATGAGTATTTACAACTTTAACGACCAATAGTGTATAAAGTTTCAGCTATTATATATGTACATATGTAAGTATTGTGGTATTCTGCCACACTTAACACTAACAAAGACTACAACATAATAAACATGATTTATGTACTGTAAATATGCTATAAGAATTATATTGTTTTTATTGCATTTAGCAGTTATATTATCATAAACATAACATAACTATCATAAAGTGAAGTGTCATGTTGTGACAAAAAGCCGCTGCCATCGCGAGTATTCACATTACACCGTTATTAATTTGATTTATATCTCCTATTGAAGAGATTGGCTGTAAAACAATAAATTCTTTGATGTTCTATCGTCATAAATACTAATGTTATCAATTGGACAATTACACACTTGTGTAAACGTATCATGATACTAAAACATGCAGCAGGAAACTATGTCAGACGTTTAACTTCGAAAAAAAATGACTTTAACTACATTCAGATAATGTGAGCACACAAACTCTGCGCTAAGTGCGTTGTGCGCTAATTAAATCGACACTGTATTGTCGTATTTTCAAAAGCAAGAGCATAGGCACACTCACCGGCACCCACTTGCAAATTAAGAACTGTGTAAATATTTAAGTAATTATCAGTGTTAATTGGAGGATTTTGCAAATAACTGCATACAAATAGATATGTAAGAGTAAAATCATTTATGTAAGTACATATGAATATGTACATAGTATATACGCAACTACATAAGTCTTTACATTGTATTCTGAATTGTCACATATACCACATTTCATAGACTATTACATGCATATATATAAACATATATGCATATATGGTATTTATACTATGCAGTTCTCTGCTACATAAATATACTTGTACAATATAGTACCGTTTTCATATACTCGAGTAGTTCAAGGTAACATTGCCAATTCCGCGATCAAGCAACAATTTTCTTTTTCATCATCAACACATTTTCCACCAAATTTCAATAAGACGGCGAATCGCACACACACACTCATACCATCGTTTATACAATTGAGAATGGGTATTGTGGTGTGTGTGAAGATACTCTGTACTATACGCTCGATGGCGTCACAACAGTCTGCGAACAAATAAAAGTACACATACATATATGCATAGTTATGTGCCTACGTTAATTGTTCAGGCGTGCTCTCTACATGTCGCTAAATATTAACAAATTCAGTAACCAACAAAGCACGTGGCGAATTCAACTGTATTTCCAAAAAATTGAGAGAGAGCAGCGAGTGATAAGAAGACTTTATGCTGGTGTTTCAGACGAAGAATCAAGTAAGTGTTGCGCTTAATTATATTTGCCGTTTTTTTTTTATAAAAAAAAAAATGTTTCTTTATGGTATGTTAATAACAATTAATATGATTATTTATGTAAGTTAATAAAACAATAAAATTTGTATTTATATGCCAAATTAACTTTTATGTACAACTCGTATCACGTCATAAATCCCATCATAATTTATCAGCAATAATAATAATCATTAATAAGTAGATAATTTTATTACTCACATACACTTACCATTTACTGACTTTTTTCACATAAAACTTCGATATTCTATATGCATTTGCGATTTGTTTATTCTGAAAATGACCTTGGCCCTGCACATGCAGTTTCTATTATTTGTATATTAATACCTTGTACTGTTTATCATGATCAAATTCTTTGTGAACAAAAGCTTTATATTCCCAAACAAACAGTAGAATACTCTCTTGTAAAAAGCACTCAAGAGATCAACTAGGAAATGGAGTCGTTATTGTATATATGTAAATAAAGTTATCGTGTTTTGTAAATGAACTAAGTAATGAAATTATTATCGCCAAATATATACATAGTTGAATAAATATAAGTACGTTAATATCCATTACAAAGTAAAGTAAAAAGCCTGTTTATGAATGCCGTTGTTTATGAGTATTTTTGAGACATTGTATTT